GAGAAGATTACATGGTGAAAATGAGCTAAAAACATCAATTTCCAACGGCCTTTTTTCACTCTAAACAAGGCACCAAGAACACTAAAAAATAGGTCGTCTTTCGTACTTTCTCTCACTAAAAGTTGACACATAACAAACCCACAATGGGCTCAAGCTTTTGATCATTTTTTCTCTCTAAAATATAGCATACAACAACCCTCAAGAGAAAACCTAATTGCAACCGAATCCCTCTTTCTTTTTCTCACTCTTTCTCTCTCTAAACAAAAGGGTTTTAGTCATTTTAAAAGAGTAAAGTTCCTACAATACTACAACCATTGGATTAGATGCAATACAATGACCCTAAATAAAAGAGAGAAAAGTCAAATAAAATACACACATGTGTGATTTTGTCTTCACGTATGTAACAATCTCTCACTTGAAGACAAATCAAAAAGCCTCTCAAATAACCACCAATACACCACTCTCTATTCACTTGAGGTTACGTCTCATCTAACCTTGAAAGTCCTCTACACATCACATTCTTTTCAATTGAGACAACATTTTTCAACAAATCGACAAACATTCTTTTCAGTGTGAATCGTGTCCACCGGCAAATCTTTACGCTCAAGGGCCAACCGAATAAAATGGTATCTGACTTCTATATGCTTTGTCTTGGAGTGATAAGATGCATTCTTAAATAGATGAATAACGCTCTAGTTATTACAATCCACAACATATTTATCTTGTTTCACGCAAATTATTCAAGTAACGTTCTCAACCAAATCATCTCTTTTGCTACCTCTGCCAATGCCACATATTCAACTTCAGTCGACGACAAAGCAACAATATCTTGCAACCTTGACATCCAGCTGACTGCACCACCGCCAACTTTGAAAAATGTACCAAGTGGTAGATCGTCTAATATCACGGCATCCTGCATAATCTGCATCTACATAACCAACAACTTCCAATGATGAGTTCCCAAAACACAAGCATACATTTCGTGTCCCCTACAAATATCGAAGGATCCACTTAACTGCTTGTCAATGTTCCCAACCTGGATTAAACATAAATATGGAAGCAATTCCCACTGCATGGGCAACATCAGGTCTAGTAGAAACCATTGTATATATCAAACTACCCACTGCATAAGTATATAGAACATTCTCCATCTTACTTTATCTACATCATTCATTAGATGGTCCTTTTTAGACAGCTTAAAATGTGTAACTAATGACGTAGAAACAGGTTTACAGTCAATCATATTAAAACGCTCAAGAACTTTAGAAATATACTCAGAATGACTTAACCAAAGCTTATCTTGCTTTCTATCTCTATGGATATGCATACTCAAATTCTTCTTGGCTGGTCCAAGATCTTTGATGGCAAAATACTTGGACATATCATGCTTTAAACGCTTGATTTCACTCAGATCATTGCTAGCAACAAGCATATCGTCAACACAAAGAAACAAAACTGTAAAAGAATCATATGTTGAACCCTTGAAGTATATACAATGTTCGAATTCATATCTAGAATAACCTTCACGCAGTATAAAACTATCAAATTTCTTATACCATTGACTAGATGCTTGTTTTAAACCACACAATCTCTTTTTCAACTTGCAAATTACGTTATGATTGGTTTTGTTCTCAAAACCTTCAAGTTGATACATATAAATTTCTTCATCAAGATCACCATGTAAGAAAGAGGATGTTATCGACGGTGTTGATTATAAGGTTCTTGGAAACCCCTTGCTTGCGAAAATGGGAATCCCAAATACAGGATCCCACTTAAGATCCTGTACATGATTGGCTAAATACGAAGTAGATGAATACAACTACAAATCGAGTGCAAGAAATAAAGCAGATATAAAAATCACATCACAACAACACACAATTTACATGGTTCACCTATAGGGCTACATCTACATTCTCGGCAAGTCAAAATCCACTATCACAATGAAAATTATAGTTTTGGATTACAAAAGATAATACATATCTCTAAACATCGATAAAAGACCATTATCAATCTTTCCTTTTAAACACGCTCTCCCGACCGAGTAACATCGTCGATCGATATCTTCTTTCCCATTGCAATACCGTTATTGAAAAGAAGAATCGTAAGAGCAACCGAGAGACTTAGTGAAAGTTAAACAACTAAAAACTCTTGGGAATACTGCCTCTTTCTCGAAGGCCAGGTCTCTCTCTAATGGAGACCCATCTCATAATGGAGATCCATTCCCATAACCCCCAAAAGGATGACTCTCAAAGGATGGCATTATGTCTTCCTTGATTCTCTTTTATAGAGATCACCTTGAGCTTATTTCTTGTTCCCCCAAGAAAGCCCGTCTCTTTTACCATAATATCCTTAATCTTTTATTGAAAACATAGGTATGGTGACTTTGACTATCACCAAACCTAACAATCTCCACCTTGATAGTAAAATCACCATATTATCTTGTCGGCCTTCATTGAACAGTTTTCTTGATTTTTTCTCACTTGCCTCCATTGTGGAATTTTCACAAACACTTTGCCTCCATATTTCTCCACCTCAAATCACGTATCCATCAAACTCCACCATTCATCTTTTCTTAATGTAAACCTCAGCCCTGTATACACCTTGTGCTCTGATACCAATTGTAGGGTTCTCGAAAATCCCTCGCTTGCGGATTTGGGAATCCCAAATCTTGGGATCCCACCCAAGATCTTGTGCATGATTGGCTAAATGCTACGATGATTGATACAACTATAAATCAAGCGAAAGAAATAAAGCAAACATAAAAATCACACCATAACAACACACAATTTACGTGGTTCACCCATAAGGTTGTATCCACGGCTTCGGCAAGTCGAAATCCACTATCACAATAAAGATTACAGTTTTAGATTACAAGAAATAATAGTTATATCTAAATATCGGTAAAATATCATCATTGATCTTTTTTTCTAAACTCTCTCTCTTGACATAGTAACAACGTCGATCAATATCTTCTTTCGCACCGCAATACCACTATCAGAAAGATAACCTCGAGAACAACTGAAAGACTTTCTCTCTCTAAAAGTAAAAGTTAACTAACCCGAAACTCATTGGAATACCGCCTCTCTTTAGAAGGTCATGTCTCTCTCTCTTGGAAACTCATCTCCATATTGAAGATTCATTCCCATAACCCCCAAATGGTTGACCCTCAAATGATCGTATTATGTCTTCATAGATTCTCTTTTATAGAGATCACCTTAAGTTTTTTCTTATTTCTTAAGAAACTCTTTCTCTTTTTACATTAATACCCTTAATCTTTTAATGAAAACATAGGTATGGTGATTTTGACTATCACCAAACTTAACACAAAAGACCTCAACTATATTTATCTCTCCAAATGCCCTATACAAATATGACTATAGAGAATCAATGAAGCATAACTCATTCTCGGCCTTCCCACCTCAATTGCCTCTAAAAATTGCTAAGAAGGCCCACGTCCCTATATCTCTTCCTTTCCTAAGAAACCCTAGCAATAGATGCCCCTCCTAGCGAAAGTAACTCTCGCGCTTGAGATTTAAGCAGTAGAGAAATGGGATGAATATCGACCATTGGATGTAAATCTTGCATTTTTTTTGGTAGATCAGGAAAAGGGATCTCTATTCAAAGAGATAGAACTTATTATGTGGTGTTGTAGTAACCCATTATTCTCGCCAGCTATGCCTTGAGTCTATATTTACTAAACTAAAAATATAAGTATTAATGTTGTAAGTAAGGGACAATTGTTTTTTTTTTTTTTACATGAGTATATAAAGAGTCCAATTATTTTTAACACAAGAAAGTCATAATCACTTTTGTCCGTTAGATTTCAAATCAAATAGTTGCGAGTGTGTCATTGACTAGACTTAAAGTTTCAAGAAAAAAAAAAAAAAAATCCCTAATTTTGTGATGCACTTCAAGCCACCTAGTTTTACATGGAATGGCTAGTAGCAATTGTGACTTCAAGTGACAAAAACAAATGGTCTCGTGATATACGATAATTATTGATGATTGCCTGGCTGATCTCCGTTATCAATTTATCAAGCTAAATTACCCTACTTATCATAATTTTTCACCGTGGTATTTCAGCCGCAGTACTTGTGTTTCTTTCATTTTCCATCCTGAGATTTTTGGTGAGTTTTTACACTCTTCTACCAATAGAGTGTCTATATTTGGTTGGCTTTTTTCTTTTTCTTGTTTTTTGTAAAAAGGATAAAGCCCCAAAAAGAAACAACCCACTTTATCCGTCAAACTTTGTATTATTGGTGACCCCATCACGTGCATCATTCCCATAACTTTCTCTTGGTTTGGTTCACTTGGAAACAAAACAATATTGATCACTTACGGTCAACCATTTCTCTCTTTCTCCTTTTGCTTGGGATCGATAGAGAACCCAATAAATCATATCTATCTCCACATTGAGATAGTATTCATCCTTTTCGAAATATCCAATATGTTGTTAACTATGATATTAACAACAGTGCCAATAATTTTCCTAAGAACTAATTACATTCTATAGACATTAGCTATAAGAGATGTCCCTCTCAATTACCTTCATACTTCCACATAGACATTTCCAACTATTAAAAATTAAGCCTTATAGCTAACCCTATAGCTAAGGGGAAGCTGAACTCCACAAAACACAGATTTTCTATGGGATTAGATTTTGCTTGACATCATTGATATCTAGAAATGTTCAGTTAAGCCCATAGGGATTGTAAATTCAAAAAAATCTATCGACCTTTATATATGTGTTTAAGAGAATAGATTCTCAAAATTTAGAGTGCTAGAAACACATCTAGATAAAGTTTTACATAAAAGAATAAATTTTTTTATTTAAGCCCGTAGGGATTGTAAATTGAAAAAAATCTATTGACCTTTATATAAGTGTTTAAGAGAATAGATTCTCAAAATTTAGTGTGCTACAAACACATCTAGATGCAGTTTTACATAAAAGAATAAATGGGCAGCATGCTCGGTTTGGAGCATGAAATGTACTGGCCTTAGGACGTACAATCCCTACTTTAATAACTCACTACAAAACAAAAGCACATCACAAAAATCCCTTAGAAGTGAAATCTTTTGGCTTGGTTTTACAAGCAATCTCTACTTTAATAAGTCACTACGAAAAAGTACATCATAAAAATCAATGACAGTAATGCCTCTGTCGACATTCTGATGGTGAATAATCCACCTTTTCATTCAGATGAAGTACAGGGAGGAGGAGAATCACATACAGGAGCGGTGTCCATGGTGCGCGCCTTCTTATAAGCGATCATATCCTGAATGAAGAGGGTGAGGTTCATATAAGACGACCCTCCCTCCTCCACTGCCCTCCTCGCCATTTCCCCCAACTCTCTCGCCCTCCCCCTCATCTCACCATTCCCCATCATCTCCGACACCGCCTGCTCCACCGCCTCCTTGGGCACCACTCCTTGGGTGTCGAAGACGATTGGCACCGCTACCTTCAGCACGTCCACCACCAGCTTTGCGTTCATCGGCTGCTCCGCATTAAGTGGCCATGCCACCATTGGGAGCCCCGCAGTCAGGCCCTCCAGCGTCGAATTCCAGCCGCAGTGCGTCACGAACCCTCCGGTGGCTGGGTGTGAGAGGATCAGGATTTGCGGCGCCCATCCTTTGATTACCATTCCCCTGCCCTTCACGCGTTCCTCGAAGCCCTCGGGCAGCCACTGGTCCACCTGCTCTCTGTCCCCTCTCAATACCCAGATAAACGGCAGCCCGGAGGCCTCTAAGCCGAGTCCGATATCTGTTAGCTGCTGCGGGGCAAGACGGCACAAACTTCCGAAGCATACATACACGACCGACTCTGGCTTCTGCGAGTCGAGCCATCTTAGGCACGCGCTTTCGTCGACAGAGGCCTTCTTTCCCCTCTCTGCCTTGTCAATCTGGTCTCGGTTGCAAAGGGACACCGGCCCAATGGGCCACGCCTTCATCCCCACCACGTTCCTGTAATGGTTCACATATTCCGACTCCAGCTCCTCGAAGCTATTCACAATAGAACCGTAACTGTGGGCATTCGCTCGCCTCATCTCCTCTAAAACTCTGCTAAACCCAGCAGCCATCAACTCTGAATTCCCCTTACTAAACTCGGCCAGCTGGGCTCTGGTGAGCCTAATGTCGTGTGGCAAGCCGGGCAGCATGAAGGGCTCGGTGTCTGAGCCCACGTTGATGTGAGGCTTCTTTTCATGGATGCAGGATGAGCAACAACAGCTGAAACAGCTGGTCCCATGGAAAACAATTCTCGGGATGCCGAGGACTTTCGCCGTCTCCACCGTCCACCCGAGGAACATGTCCGAGATGATACAGAGGGGATTCTCCACCTCCTGTCTGATGAGCTTCTCAAAGGGCTCTTGGAGCAACTCGGTGGCCCGGAGAAAATTGATCTTTAAATCATTCGAAGGCAGAAGGTCCATGCTCTCGCAACCTTCTGGCAGGCCCACTTCGGCGCAAGGGAACTCAATGTCAAGAACACGCACCCTGCAGCTTGACGATGCCGCACGATCCAAGATCGGCCGGATCCAAACCGCATTGAGAGGGGTGGTGACCAGAGTCACGGCGAGCCCATGGTCCGCAAGCATCCGCGCGATGTCGAGCACGGGTATCATGTGGCCCTGAGCCATAAATGGGAATAACACAACATTGTGACTCTGCTCTGACTCTCCCTCGCCCTCCATAACCATCCTCAAAACTCTTTCAGCTAAAGCAATGGAGAGAACTCCAGAGTCGCTTGCTTGGAGATAGATCTATGTGGTGTGGTGTGGTGTGGCTAGTATTTAGATGAAGCATTCAGCCTATATACGTCTTGTCTTATTTTAATATTTCAGGGTAGGACGGCCGGGACGTTTGCTGCCTGTCAGAGCGGGCTGAGAACGCTCGCACGCTATATTTTACTTGCGTGGGCAAGAAGCTAACGACTCATTCACTCGTAGAGTAGTCAAACGTTTTACTTGCGTGGGCAAGAAGTTAACGACTCATCCTCTTGTAGAGTAGTCAAACGTAAACAAAATTTAGAAAACTAGGAAGGAAGTCAAAGAAAGAGCAACTATGAGATGAAAATTGGGAAAATTCAAAAACCAATACTTTCTAGACAACTTCTTTTTACCTCAAATTTAATTTTCTTAACAAATGCCCCAAAGTCAAAAAAATAAAAAAAATAAAGATTAAAATATCTTCTTGAAAGCATTTGATGCAACACAAAATGGGGTTGTCCGGCAAAAAATAAGGGCGGTCTGGTACTTTGGACATGCAATCCGATACAAAATAGGGGCGGTCCAATATTTTGAGCTTTTGGAAAGCATACCGTCCAACAAAAAATAAGGGTAGTCTGACACTTTGAGCATGCAGTCCAACACAAAATGGGAATTGTCCACAAAAAAAATAGGGGCGGTTCAGTAATATTTTATTTTATTTTTATCTAATAAAATAAAATATTACATTTTTTTACTTTGTTGAGATGGTCAATTTGAGGTAAAGGTTATTAATAAAAACTTGATTAAGGATAAGTTGTCTAAAAAGTTTCCTTTTCAAGATTTTTTTGTAGTCTTCTAAAGTAAATAAGCCCGTACCTTAAAGCAGCCAAAAAAAATAACCGATTGTTAAAGGAAGAAATTTGTTAAGGCATATGCTTTATGGAAACAAAATAAAGCTTCACTTCAAAAACTTTTCTGAGAAGCATTTTTGGCAACGAAAAACTTCATGGTTGTTTAGAATTAATTTTTAACAAACCGAGATTAAAATGTGAAGTTCGAAAAATGGTACAGATCTTGCGAATTTGTGAAACACTTATTTTTAATGTGAAATAAAAAGTCTCAATAATTTGTCACAATATATATTATTTTTAGATATTGAAATCTTAATTTTTTTTCACAACCATAAAATCTCAAGTCGAGATAATCATTATAAGAGTTCTTCCATGCTTGAATTGCAATTTTCGATGAGTTATAAGGTGAGTCTTTATCTATTTTGATTGGGTTGAAGTCAACCCTTTCTTTTTTTTGTTTTTTTGTTTTTCGTGTAATTCAGTGGAAAAGAAAAATCCTTACCCGTTTTATTAAATAAATTAGGAGTTAGCAGGTGTCAATGAAACTCAAAACTAGGTATTCGGGTGCTAACACCACGACCCAGCCCCTTTTCCCCTATCAATCCAGATTCCATTGATAAATTTAAGTAAACCAAATATAGTATAGTGTATCCGCTAAAATCTTGTACGGCTTGTCCACTAATAAATGTAAATTGTTCACTGAACTAGTAACCCTGGTAGCTAGATGACGTAAGCCCACACGTAAGGCCTTCTTCCATAGCATTCAAATCACTTCCCTCTCACTATTATGTGGTTTGAAACGTTAATGCAAATGCACGGCACCTCATATTATATTTCTTTTGTTATATGTCATTTTGGATGCCCTTTTATATCGAGACGAATAACAAGAGATCTAGTAATAACTTAGTTTTGTCACACCCAAGACGCCGCCAAACTATGGTAATAGAAACAATATCCAATTTCAATTTTTGGAAAGGTCACAATAAAAATATTGTCATTTCCCTTTGAAATAAGAATGCAACAAGATAGAAAAATATATGTTGTATTTCACAAGATAGAAAAGTATGTATTACACAATTTTATAACCATTATATATACAATGTAAGAACCACTACAATGTAATGTGGGACACAATTGCTTTTTTAAAAAAGAGTTGCTCTCTCTCTCCTTAAAATTTTATATGGTCATCACCGATCCTCTCAGCAATTCATCTTGAAGTAGTTTTCCAATCTAAAGTGGACAGCAAGCTCATATTGACTTATTTTTTATTTTTATTAAGCCATTATCGTCTTCTTCTTCTTCTTTTTCCTTGTACCACTTTTCCCTCTCACGTTTTTTAATTTTTATTTTTCCCTTCTAGCCATTAAAAACTCTATCATCACCTCATTGTTTCACCTTCTTGGCTTCTTAAGCTTCATCCCATCGCACATCCAACTCCCTCTCTTTATCTCTCCCATATTCTAACCTCACATCCTTAATTAACCCACTCTCTCCATCACCATTAAAACCGACTCCACTATCTATATTATTTCTTACCCTAATAACCAAGTCAAGCACAACTCATATCACCCTCTCTTGCGTATCCAATTTCTCTATAAAAAAAAGACCCTCAAGTTCACTCTCTCACCCTCTCCCTTCAAATACATATTCGCTCCAATGGATACTTTATCATCGTCGAACAAATATATCCATATCCTTCCATCCTTAACATAGGAAACTTTGTGTTTATTAAGTTTACACAGAACAACTATCTCTTATGGGAAACTCAAATGCTCCCTCATTGAGAGTCAGGAATTAATGGTGATTACCCTACCACCAAGCCCAAAGATTTCCTCTCCTGATGGTAAGAGTGAAATCGAAAACTCATATTACAAATCATGGTTGAAGTCCGACCGGTTTCTTAAAGCTTGGATCACATGGACATTATCAGAAGAATGTCTTGGCCTTGTTGTTGGCCTCAAGACTTCTGTAGAAGTTTGGAAATGCCTGAAGAATACCTATGCAGGTAATTCTCAGGCTCGAGAGTTCCAACTTACCAGCAACTTACCAGCAACTCCAACTCTGCAAGAAAGAGAGTTCAACCCTATCAGAATTCATATGTAAATTCAAGAGTATATGTGATAATTTGGCAGCTATTGGAAAACCTGTACTAGATGAAAATAAGGTTTTTTGGTGTATCAATGGACTTGGTAAAAAATATGAGAGTTTTGCTACCACTATGCTTAAGCCTTCGGTCCTTTCTTATTATGAAATTATACCTTTTTTTCAAAGTCATGAGATTAGAAATCAGCCTCATGTCTTTGAATAACACTCAGATCCAAATCGAAATATGGCCTTTATTGGACAACAAAAATTTTTTGGATCCAACAAAGGTAACCAAAATTACAAAGGCAGGTGGACGAACAACTTTGGTTGTCAACGTGTCTTCAACTCTCGAGAGCCCTTGCTGTAATAACTATATCTAAGTCACAAGACTCAAAATGGTTCTCGGACACATGTGCCTCCACTCATATGATAGGAGATCCAAGCAAGCAACAAAATCTTCATCCCTATGGAGGCACAGATAGAGTCAAGGTTGGGAATGGTGAACAATTAACTATTTCACATGTTGGTGATACAAATATTGTTATTGGCTCTGAAAGATTCAATGTTTCTAATATCTTCTTGATGCCTGAAATGAAAAAGAACCTATTATCTGTTACCCAAATTACAACAGATTTTCCTTGCTTTTTTAGTTCTCAACTAATGGTTTTCTAATTAAAGAAATGAGCACAGGGAGAACTCTGGTCAGCAAGAGTAGAAAGGGAGTATTGTGTGCACTTGAAGAAGTGAATCAAGCTTTAATATCAGAAGATATGTGGCATCAACGACTTGGACATCCTCAAAATAAAGTTGTTTGTTACTTAGAATCTAAACAATTGATAGATATTGATGCATGAAACAAGTATCATTCAATTTGTGTTAATTGTTAGACGGAAAAAAGTTGTAAGCTTCCTTTTAATGGTGTTGATAAAACCTCTACTGAACCGCTTTAAGATTCATTCATATTTATGGGATCCTGCTCCAATTTTATCTAATCAGAGCTGTCGATTTTATGTGATGTTTGTTGATGATTATACTTCTTTTACTTAGATTTATCTTTTGAAACAAAAATCTGAATTTTTCACTGCATTTATGAAATTTCATTGCATGATTGAAAGGAGGTTTGATAAAAGAATTCAAGTTTTTCAATGAGATAGAGGTGGTGAATTTCCTAAGAAAGAATTTATTGCTCATCTTAATGACAATGGAATCATGCAACATTTATCATGTCCGGGAACCTTTGAGCAAAATGAAATAGCTAAAAGGAAATATAGAAATATCGTAGAATTGAGTCTTACAATGATGTTTCATGTAGGAATTCCTAAACGTTCTTGGGTTGAAGCCTTCATATTGCCGTATTTGTTATCAATAGAATTCCCTCAACCAATTTAAAGATAGATTCACCATACTTATTATTGTTTGAACGGTTACCAGACTACTTCTCGCTTTGAGTATTTGGTGTTGGGATTTTCCATATCTTCGAGGCTATGCTGCAAATAAATTTAGTCCCCACTCTTTTCCATGTGTTTTCTTGGGCTTAAGGGCTACAAATGTCTACATCCACCCATAGGCCGAGTCTATATCCCTATACATATTGTATTTGATGAAAATACTTATCTTTATGTTAACTCCAATTCTTTGTTTGACAATGCTTAGGTTCAGGAGGAAGCTTTCCACCTATGCAGAATGATTAGATTGTTATGAGTCTGACATACATACTCTTCCATTTTTTGATTCATCACCTCCACATAAACTACCTATGCAGGAGGTCCTTGATGTATCTGGCTCTTCAGGTCCTACTTTGCCCATCACTAATGATGGTCCATTCACTTCTCTTATGGAGGAAGATATCTGCAACACCAATCCAAGATGTCTAGGATGATCCAATACACAATCATTGTGATGAAAATGTTGCCACTTAAGAAACCAACCAATTGAATTTTTTACCAGTCTCTGAGCATCATCATCATCACATGGTCACAAGATCTCAAGATGGTACTCGAAGACTTTAGATTCTCCCCTCCATGGCAGCAATTTCAAGTGCTCCTACTGTTAAAGCTATCCCTTCAGAGCCTAAAACAATTAAGTCTGTCTTGAGTCATCCAGGTCGGCTTCATGTGATATGGAATAAGAAATTGAAGCTCTACATGTTAATTCAACTTAGGAGCTAGTTCCACGTCTTTCAAGTATAAATGTTGTTGGTTGTCATTGGGTCTATAAGACTAAATTAAGGTCTAATGGAAGTTTAGTGAGACTTAAGGCCAGACTAGTTGCTAAA